AGCGTAAATTGGAGAGTAGAGTGACAGCAAAAGAGAGTGCGATAGTGAAGAGAGAAAAAAAAGCGGTTTGGTCCAACGCAAGGCAAAGAAATGGAAGGGTTGTCGTCTTCAATGGCGATTGCGCAGAAAACATGGGAGCTCGAGAACAACATCATCCCCATGGACACTCCGGGAGCCGCCTCATCCTCCTCCGCCGCAACTGCCACCAACGCCGACGACTCTATATTCTACTACGACGAGGCCGGGCAGAATGAGTTCCAGCGCGACAAGCCCTGGGCCAATGACCCTCACTACTTTAAGCGCGTCAAGATCTCCGCACTCGCGCTACTCAAGATGGTCGTCCACGCACGCTCCGGCGGAACTATCGAGGTCATGGGCCTCATGCAGGGAAAGACCGATGCCGACGCCATCATCGTCATGGACGCCTTCGCTCTCCCCGTTGAAGGCACGGAAACGCGCGTTAATGCTCAGGCAGATGCGTACGAGTATATGGTCGATTATTCCCAGACAAATAAACAGGTTCCTTCTCCTAAACCCTAGCACTAACCCTAATTCGAATTTATTTTTATTGATCTTTTTTTTTTTGCAGGCTGGAAGGTTAGAGAATGTTGTGGGATGGTATCACTCTCATCCTGGGTATGGGTGCTGGCTGTCGGGGATCGATGTTTCGACGCAGATGCTGAATCAGCAGTTTCAGGAGCCGTTTCTGGCGGTTGTGATTGATCCCACGAGGACTGTTTCGGCGGGGAAGGTTGAGATTGGGGCTTTTAGGACTTACCCCGACGGTTATAAGCCTCCGGATGAGCCCATTTCTGAGTATCAAACTATCCCTCTCAATAAGATTGAGGACTTTGGTGTCCACTGTAAACAGGTCTCTTCTTTTTCTGCTGTTGGCCAATTTTTATTTATAATCACCCTTCCTTTTTTTTAGTTTTTGTTCAATTTCATTTGTGTGCTTTGCAGTATTATGCCTTGGATATCACTTACTTTAAGTCATCTCTTGATTCACATCTCTTGGATCTTCTGTGGAACAAGTATTGGGTGAATACATTGTCGTCTTCTCCTCTGTTGGGTAATGGAGATTATGTTGCTGGACAAATCTCTGATTTAGGTACTATTTCTGCTTCAGTATTTATATATTGATTTATTTATTTATTGTGGACTAGAATGGTTCTGCAGTTCTCTTTACAAAATGTTGTGTATTTGATAAGGCTATGTTTTGAAAGTATGAGTGTCTAAGTTGGAATATTCCTGTTGCAGCTGAAAAGCTAGAACAAGCAGAGAATCAGTTGGCACACTCACGCTTTGGGCCACTAATAGCACCGACACCTAGAAAGAAAGAGGTGTGTGACTGTTTCTATACAATTTACAAAATTTCCATCCATTTATTAGAAGTTCTTTATCATCGTATTGAGGTTTCATTTGGATTATTGAAAATTTTCAGAACAGTCTTTTTGATGATGAAATTCTTTCTGGGTGATTATCTCCCATCTAATTCATGTTGTATGCAAGTTTTGATATGCGTCTACTTGTTGAAATTTTGAAGCTTATTTCTAACAGTTAGCTGTTAGAATATAGTGTACCACAACATGCCTTTTCATTTATCAGTCTTTAAACCGTAGGGAAGAAAATTTGAGACAAATACTGGATAATTAACCACACTAACTGTAATACTTTTGCTAATGAGTTTCTAAACAGCTTCCAATTTCATTCACCAACGATGCCACATTGCCATGTCACAAAATTAGGTCCCTAATTCCAAATAGTTTTCCTCTAAGATCGTAATTATATGTGTTGGCACTTACTGAAATGATTAACATACAGAATTGCCCAACATACAGCTTTGCTGAGTCTGGGGCTGACCCATTTTTGACTCATTGGCCTGGTGGGGGTTGGTTGGACTGTCCATTTTGACACCTGTACCTACATTCAACAGAAGAGTTGTTTGCTAGGTAGTCAGAATTGATATTTCACCCAAGATTATAAAAGGAAGTATGGATTGTAAATCGGTATATTGTCACAAGGATAGTAAGATCTTACTAAATTTGTGGAACTCATATATGCACACGCAATTATTATCCGACAATGGTATCCATCTTTTTAATTTGTTTTGAATATAGCATTGTTCTATGGACCTTAGGAACAATACCCTTTGGCCTATTCACTAGGAAGTTTATCATTGTCCTTCTTTTCTTATCATTCCAGCCTTCAGTTATAATCGTGCATTTTGTTTTCTTCCGTTCATCCCTTTTGTGCTTGTAAAGCAATTGCTGCATTTTTTACTTACTTTCAAATATTGGACTCTAATCTCATGATAGGGTGGAGGTGTAAATCCAAGGCCATGCCTTATAGACAAATCAAACATAGCACTAAATTGTTCACTCTTTGGCACATTGAAAGGTATATCATTGTTGTAGACAAACCTAGCAATTTCTTTACATGCTTCCTCTCTCACAGCTTAAACACGGTGTTAACTGTGGCTGGCGTGCTTACTACTTAAAATTATTTGTAGGACTGTCAGCATCAAATGTTTTGTTGTTTTTTCTTTTCTCACCAGCTTCTGCACTGTTCCCCTCCTTATTAAGGCTTGGTTTCTTGAACAAATTTTGTTACAAACCAACAACAATTTCACAACTCCTTCTTCACTTCATCAATAACACCCTTGCATGCTATAATATCCTTGTGAGTACCAGCAAAGTGGTGCTTCAACTGATAAACTCTTGTTTTTATCACCTTCTAAAAGTATTTGAATTGAAGTTTCCTAGTAGCCCCACCAACTGAAGTACTATGCTTCCAAGCTGTATCATTCCTATTTTTTGGAGCCATGGGTACAGAGGAGCTTGAAGTCTTTTCAATGATTGGGGAAAAACGTCTGACAAGGATGAGTAATAATTTGCTGTGAGATGCAATTTGGTTCATTGTAAAGGAAGAGCAGAGTGGTATGCCGCAGTTCAGTGGTAATAAACAAAGAGGGAGAAAGATGGAATGGAATGGGAGTGAGTAGAATTGATATTAAATAGCCAAAGGGAGAGAAAAATGATTTGTTTTTTGGTAAAGGGAGAGAGTAGCATTGGCAGCATATTTTGGCCAATGGAGAGCAGTATGCACAACATTTTTTATTTATAGAAGAGAGGCAGTCATGACTCAGCAGTTTTTAGGCATTGATTTGTATCGGGTTACTTGATGGTTTTTAGGTAATGGGGTGAGCTGGGTTAAGTAATTGGGCTTTGAAGGAAAAAATGGGCTTAAATTCTGGGTCATAAAATCGGGTCATGCAACCCAACTCAAGAAAATAACCTAGAAATAGGGAAGGGTAGGTGCTATGAGAGGCACCACAAGGTGTGCTGAGACCACAAGCGGCTGTGCAATGAGTGTTGAGGACCGCAACAACAACTGCTCCCACACTTGTGAGAAACAGCAGTCTTACTTGAGTTGATCTGCAATGGCAATCCGATGTGATCCATAAAAATCACGACCTTGAGGTGACTTAAGATTGGGGAGGGAGGAGTAGATTGTAGGCACATTTGATCTCATGCTCCAGAGAGCAATTTTTGACTACCTTGGTTGTGGTTTCATACCAAATTTCATTTTAGTATTAAAGTCATACATGTCATGGATGGATTTTCTCACACGTTTTGTAGCTCAACTGCTATGTCAGCATCAAGATGTTCATGCCTGCGAGAGTGTTTCTTACCTTACATGCCTGCAAGATGCTAATTGCCCTGCCAGTTTTGGTGTTGGAAAACTTATTCTAACTCTTTCCTTTTAAAAAACTTCCAATATAAATATATTATGGTGGACAGACATCCTAATTATGTTCAACAATTCAAATTAATTTTGCTTAAATTTTAAAACAAAAAATCCTAAATGGTGGTAGTAGTTCCGTATCAACATCTTTTTTTTTCATCGAAAAAAAAAATATAATTAATATAATTGACAAGAATTATGAGCTATGTCAATGTTAAAATTGATATAGCTTTATTGGATCCTTCATACTTAGCATAACTGGTTGAGAATTTAGATACCAATAATATAGAACATCCTAATTCATTTTGATTCATTACCTTCTACTAAAATAATCATGAATCTGTTGTTTTATTCTTTTTAAGGGGTTTGGAAGTGTCATACTTGTAATTAGTTTACTTTATTCATGAATGACTATCTGTTAGACATTGCCCAACCTAGCTTAAAGTTGTTTGATGCTATCTTTCATCAATCAATTTTATTACAACAATTAATCATGACCTATATGTTGGATGGTTGAACTTGTGGACTTACTTCTGCTTTGGAATCTTTATTTTTCGTTGTATTTTTCACTTTTTGTTTGCAAGAGGAATCTTCAATCCCATTAACCTATATCACTCCTTTGTCAAATTTCCTTCTCATACTCCAAAACTAAAGAAAACAGAATCACATCTGGTTTTTTGTACGTGATCTTTATTTTTCCCTTCGAATGTGTTGTTTTCACAATAACAGTATTATTGTAAACTGGATATTGCATTTCAGAATGAGGTTGTTGCCACTGGGACCCTGTTTTGCTTTGGCTATGCTATAGCTAAAGAAAACAGAATCACAATTGGTCTTATTTTAATCCTTACTTTTCGCTTTAAATGTGATGTTTTACAACAACAACAAAAAATCATTGGAAATATTGAAAATGCATTACTCACTGGGGTTGTCAATTGTCCCCACTGTGACCCTGTTTTTGTTTGGGCAAGTCATTTGTAAAAGAATCAAATGTTGGGATTACTGGAATACTAGACTGCAAATGGTGCCTGATTAGGTTTTGCTGAAGACTGCTGATATTGTGCTTGCTTAATTTTTAATATCGGAGTCTCCATGGCATCTTACATTTAGTTGGGCCAATTTACTGTTCTGTTATTACTAACCTCGACGAATATGTGTGGGCTTGTGCCCACATACAACATACACTAAATGGAAAATACTATGTGATGTTTGATTATTTACATGATATATCATTGGGCTACATACATATCTTTTCCACATTTCCATGGTGGGAAGTTATTCCTGTGTTTGAGCAATTCTCCTGCACTTAGTAAAATTTCTGTAGATATGATTACCCTCTTGCTCATGATGATGGAAATGGCGATTGAATATATTCATACTGCTAAAACTATATATAATATATGCTGTGGTGGTGTGGCCAACAGTTACTTATATGACAATTCTTCCTGCCAAAAAGTGGAGCGCTAAACTATTCTCCGTTTATTGAATCCCATTGTTCACAAAGTTTTTTTTTTCTTTTATACTGAAAAAAGGTACGCAGTTTTCACAAGCGAAAGTCTGGGACAAATTGCAATGGCTAATTATAAATTCCTAATTGATTCTTGTTGAATATTTTAATGTATACTTTTTTAATAACTTTATTGACGAGAAAATTGAAACCAATAAATGCAAACGTTTAGTAGGTCTTTGATGTTGATAATTTGAAGCTGCTCTGTATCCATTTTGTTTATGATCATATATGAATACCACTCATTGCTGATGTAACGTTCTTTAAGCTCTCCCACAATTTTTCTCTCCTTGCATACCTGACACCGACATTTCCATAATTTGCAGGAAGAATCTCCTCTTGCTAAAATTACTCGTGACAGTGCTAAAATAACTGTGGAGCAGGTGCATGGTCTGATGTCACAGGTAACTTGCTTTGCCCCCCGCCCCAAATTAAATTATTCTTTGCTTGGCTGCCGAAATGTAATGATAAGTTTTTTCTGTGTAGGTCATCAAGGACATTTTGTTTAACTCCGTCCATCAAGCAAATATAAATCGCACAGAACCATCTGGTCCTGAACCAATGATTGAAAGCTGATTCTGCCTCTCCTAGACATGCATTTATATATTCTTTCTTTCCTTTTTTTTTGGTTTTGCCCTCATTATCTGCCAACTCTTATACTCCACATAACAGTCAGTCTAGCCTTGTATTTTGCCTTTTTGCCCTCGTGCTCTGCTTATTCTCGTTTTATTGCACTATTATATTTGTTAACCATGCACTGGAACTCACCTAACACAAACAAAACGTTGTCGAATACAGTTAACAAATACCTTTTTATGCCCTTTTACTCCTACTTGCTGTCAAAGTTATTTTTCTCGCCCTTTATCGTACGGACCAAATTCTGCGGGTTGTGATTGATGCAGTCTTTGTCTTTACCACAAATAGATGTTACTGAATTCATAATTATTTATATAAAATAGTTGGAATTTACAAAGTAGCGTAGCAATTAGTATTAAACTTGGTTCTTAGGAACTTCTATTAAACAATGAAAATTTTATAATAAAATTCATTAATAGTACTGTTGAGCAGAAGGGAATTGTCGCAATGATAGGGCAGTAATTTGATTCAGCTGGCAATTATCATGACAACATGAAAAACCTACATCAGAGAAATGTCTAGAAATATCTTATTTTCTTTCTTATTTGATACATCTCATTGATTTAATTTATGGTTTAAGTGGAGTCAGCATGATTGTAATGGAGTGGCCTAATGCATCGAAATATAACGTTAAGAATGGTACGGAGAAAGTAAGAGTAAAAACAACCATCTGTACATACTGCTCAACTGCCTCAGTTTACTTCCTTCGAAGCTCAGACACAATCTAACTTCAAATAGAAAAAACTGTTTCTGAAACAGGATAAAATCAAAACATTTTCAGGATTTGAACCCATGAATTTCAAATGGCAACAACTTAATTACTGTTTCAAGGATAACCTTCACGAGATTTTAGACCATATTGTAAAAAATTAAAGAAAAATGTGCGGCTAACGTCCTACAATGGCACAATAATAACAGAATAAGTAAAACCTAGATTTAGCGTAATGATTTGATCCAGTTGGGATCGTTGAAACTAGACAGCAGTGGTGAAATTAGATACGCATCATATCATGTGAGAATGAGTGGTTGATACAAAATGGAAGGCTGTGAGAAAAAGTAGGTTGAAGACCAAAGACCAGTTCAGTGTCATGAATAAGCATGAAGGGCCATAATTCTGTAAGTCCTTTTCTTAAGTACGGTAATTCACATTATAATCATTTAGATACCCAATAAGAGAGGCCTCAATGAAGACGTACTCTTTGTCCTTCTTCCAACTTCCAACTCATCTTTTACTTTATGATTTCAACCTCCATTTTACACCTTCTCAATTTCTCAATCTTCAAACTTACGTCTCAATCTTTTAACATAATACGAGCATTAGGTACTATTACTATAAACTCTCAACTATATAATTGTGCAAGTCACACAAATAAAAATCTACCCTTTCGGTAAATGATCTCTAAATCTGTCAAACCATCATGCATTCGATAAGATTCTGAGGGGATAACAGAAAAAAGGGACGTCTTCATTCACAAGGTAATGACCTTTCTCTTTACATGTGACAATTTCACATGGAACTTAACCCATCTCCACGGACTCTCTTTTCTCTTTCTAGAATCTGGCACTGCCTCAATATATCATGGAGGCCTAGCTACTTCCATAAGCAACTTTCAGAATCCATCAACTCCTCTGCCACAACACATCATCATATACTTTCCACTTTCCCAAATTTTACATTTCTCTCGTGCCAATCCCTTTTCTTCTTCTGTTCTGACCAACTTCACCTACCTTATCTTTTGCCTTCTCCACTCTTCTCCTCACAAACCTAACTTTTCCACCATCAAATATCATATCATAATCCTATCACCACTTCACAACTCAGTAACCACAATGAACACACACACAAAAATAAAAAAGCATCTTACAAAACTTTATACATGTTCACTCGTATGTTGTTAAAATATGTATGCAAAATTTCCTTAAAGCTTTTTCATGTCCTCGTATAAAGTGACTAACTTTGTTGTCTTGGTTTTTTGCAACTTCATATTTGGAGCCAAAAAGTCTGGAATAAATGAATTATGAAGATACTAATATATAACACCATAGCTATAGCATAAGGGTGGGGGACGCCAAGAGAAGAGAATACTACTTTAAAAATGGTTGGTTCAGAGTAATTTCCCCAATCCCATCAAAATCGTATAACCAGAAAAAAAAAATTCCAAGTTATCACAAAAAGAAAATGTCTTGCCACTTGGAATGAACGAATTGTCTATTACAATTGTACTCTTATTTGACAATCTCCGCGTAAATTTAAACTTTAAATTTCAAGTAAATTAAAGTCGAGTATTATATAAGAATAAAGATTCATGAATTTAATATTTTAATATTTTAATATTTTGAGTTGAAGATACTAAACTTGATAATCTTTTATAAAAGACTCATACCTTCTTATTAGGCAAGTAGTTAACTTGATAAGAATGGTATTGTAATTATGACACTTAAATTTTTGGGAGTTCAGGTCTGTTACATGGTATTAGCATTGGAGAATCTTAATCTTTCAAATTCTAATTATGGCAATCCAAATTTAAAGTATCAAACAATGTGACTAAACTGTGATTAAATCTAGAAATAATTTAAAACTTGTGTGACAATGAAAGAAAATATGTGGTGATTTTACAATGGCAGAAGCATAGATAAAGGAATTGTCCTTGAGAATGATTGGTGGGCATTTAGAGTATTCGATCTGACCCTGCCAAGAGGAATTTTGAGAGGCAATCCATATCATATCCTTATGCCCTTTATGCCCTTTATGCCCTTGTGTAAGGCTGTTCTTGAGAATCTTTGTTCCACTTGCTCCTCATCAAATTCAGCATTAGTTTTTGGTTAGTGTACCAATCAGATTTTAGCACAACTACACCTTATTCAACCTTTTTCTACAATAATAATTATTCTAATGGCATCTCTTATTGCTGCCTTTCTTTCCCAACCCTTTTCTTTATTCAACATTATACTCAAGGCGTGTCCATCTTCTATTTAACTTGGTAGGTCAAAAAGACACCCTAAAGAACCTTCTGAGGTAATGTTTCGATGCAATCGGCAAGGACCACTTTGCACTCAATAAACAATCATAAGACACAATTCAATTTTCTTATTCCATCCAAAAATTTTATCATTTTCATGTCTTTATTTCTAACAAGTCCAACTTATATTATCTTTAATTCTACATTGATTTTGTTGACCTTTCTTCTTTCTAAGTTAAATTTTTTACTTTTACTTTAATGAAAAATTTAGATTCATACTTATATTATAAACGAATAAGTAATAGTACACATTCATTTGTCATATTGTAAGAATAAAATAGTCATCATTAAAAAAATATATATTTATAAAAGAAAAGAAAAAAATAATGAAAAATAATGTTAAATAAATGTAAAAAATTTGTGTTTTAAACTATTTTACTCTAAATAAATTAAATGTGAGTTTGATACTGCTGCTTGAATAGTATTTTCATATAAAGCTTATTTTTCACAAACCATGCATATTTTTATTATATATATATATATATATATATATATATATATATATATATGTATGTATGTATGTGCCTAGATTCACATTTTTTTTATCTTTTGAAGCATAAATGCATATTATATTCCGTGGAGCATAGAGGAAAGAAAGAAGGAATAAAGTGCATGGTGAAAGCTTCCTATTCACAGTTTTGAAAGCTCTTTATTTCGGGCAAGAAATTATTTATGGAAGGATCATCATTAACACTCCAAAAATAATTACTCTCACAATGGTCAACCAAAATTTCTTATTATGGTTTAATGTATAAATTAATTATGCTTTTGACATGTGGGCATGTTTTATCTGAGTTATGAAAACTACGAAACATAGTTTTTCGATTGGACGTGGATTTTAAGTAAAAGAACAAAGTCACGCATTGTTACAAGTTACACACATCGACAAATGAAACATATTATGAAAGGAAATATAGTACTTGAAATATAAAGTTATGTTGATAAAACTTATGTTAAAATCATCATTTTCATGTCTTTATTTCTAACAAGTCCAACTTATATTATCTTTAATTCTACATTGATTTTGTTGACCTTTCTTCTTTCTAAGTTAAATTTTTTACTTTTACTTTAATGAAAAATTTAGATTCATACTTATATTATAAACGAATAAGTAATAGTACACATTCATTTGTCATATTGTAAGAATAAAATAGTCATCATTAAAAAAATATATATTTATAAAAGAAAAGAAAAAAATAATGAAAAATAATGTTAAATAAATGTAAAAAATTTGTGTTTTAAACTATTTTACTCTAAATAAATTAAATGTGAGTTTGATACTGCTGCTTGAATAGTATTTTCATATAAAGCTTATTTTTCACAAACCATGCATATTTTTATTATATATATATATATATATATATATATATATATATATATGTATGTATGTATGTGCCTAGATTCACATTTTTTTTATCTTTTGAAGCATAAATGCATATTATATTCCGTGGAGCATAGAGGAAAGAAAGAAGGAATAAAGTGCATGGTGAAAGCTTCCTATTCACAGTTTTGAAAGCTCTTTATTTCGGGCAAGAAATTATTTATGGAAGGATCATCATTAACACTCCAAAAATAATTACTCTCACAATGGTCAACCAAAATTTCTTATTATGGTTTAATGTATAAATTAATTATGCTTTTGACATGTGGGCATGTTTTATCTGAGTTATGAAAACTACGAAACATAGTTTTTCGATTGGACGTGGATTTTAAGTAAAAGAACAAAGTCACGCATTGTTACAAGTTACACACATCGACAAATGAAACATATTATGAAAGGAAATATAGTACTTGAAATATAAAGTTATGTTGATAAAACTTATGTTAAAATCATCATTTTCATGTCTTAATAAAAGGATTAAAGTCTTTGTTAGTCACTTCATTCTAATACTTTTATTGTAAATTTAAAGCCAGATAAATATAATTTGGTTGGCCACATTTAATAAGAAACTATTCCTCTTCAAATAATCAATTAGAAAGCATTTATGTATCTTAACTATAAATAAATAAATAAACAAAATTTACGTGTAAAATAAACTAAATATTTTGAATTTAAATTTCTAAGAATGTGACAATCCGTCAGGAAATGTTCATTACATATGTAACGAAAATCATTTATTAAAAAACGTTAATTTTTCTTTATATCTTCATATGCATTAATGAATAGGAT